TAGGGATTTTTCCGTTTCATTTCTTGATTAAAATTTAAATTATTTCAATAATCCTATAAAAAAATTATCTCATTGCTGGGAATGGGTATTACCTAATGTTATCTTTAACTTTAAAAGTATCAAAAATATGTATTTCAAATAAAAAAATCTGTACATTAAATATTACAGCAATTTTAGTAAAAAATGTGCAGAATGAAATTATGAAAAGCTGTTTTTTCATAAAAGCACTTGAAATTCGTGTTTATTATTTATTGAACCAGTTTTAATGGTACACATATGTATAATTGATGCTTATAAATAAACATTGCAATTCAGTAAGTTGTAGCAGTGGGAGTATAATAACTTCGATGAACAAGTACATTAATTTAATCGCTATGGTTCTGTAACTTATATCGATTTGATTTTTTCAGCAATAATTTTGAAGCCAGTAAAAAATTATCTACTTATACATCGTACTGATGTATAAATGTCTTTTCAAACGAAGACATGTTCATTATTATTAAATAAAGGAATATAGTTACATTTTTTTATTATATTCTACTAAATACTAAGTGTTACACAAAATGTAACTAACATAGAAGCTATAATAGACACTTTACATTGCAATACACTATTTACAGAATAATACATCGTTAAAAAATGAATAGACCTTAGCATTGCATCGGGTTTAATAAAACTTTTTAGAAAATCCATTAAGGCAGAAGCAATGCATAAAAATGAGTTCTTTTGAGAGTATTTATATTACATTGCAATGTTTCTACCTTAACGTTTTGATAATAATAAATAATATTGCACATAACGTAAATTTTACAGTGACATTCTACAGGCGACCTACTGTAAATTTGTTTTGTTATATTGAAACATTTGATGTTTTACAAAGAATATTTTCTATATTTTCCTGCTTTACAAGTCTTTTTTTAAAAAGTTCTAGTTTAGATTTTCTTGTGATTGTTCTCTTGGATTTTTGATTACTTTCAGTCTTTTCAAGAGCACGCTCAACAGGTTCAGTTTTGACGTCAGTTTTTGTAATTAGATAGGATAAATCGTTCATAACATCTTCTATACTTTCAGTTTTTATTTCAGGTGCAATTTCAATTTTATTGGACTTTTTAGGTTTGGTTTTTTTAATTGATTTAACAACTTCAGGAGTGTTTGTCGTACTATGTTCCGTGTTATCTTCTTCTTTGATCATCCTAACTTCTTCTTCATTTTGTAAAATGGGTGTTTTTTTGTTTATTCTTTTAATTGTTTTTTTATTATCTATATTTTCATCTAATGGTAAAATTGGTTCCAATACAGGAGGTGCATCGTCGATATCTCCCTGAGTCACTTGTGTAGCCTTTTTTACCGTAGTTTTTCGATTTTTCGGGGTTTTTACACCATTACCTATCACTGTTGCTTTCTTACATTCCAATTTTTTTACACTATTCATTAAGGCTTTTGCTAATTTCTGGTTGATTTTAGGTGGCTTTTTGGGTTTCGTTTTGAAATTAAGAGCGAGACCTTTCTTCGCTACAGTTTTCGCTGCTCCTTTTTTCAATTTACCGGCAACCAAATTTGTGTTTTTTGGAGTGGCATTTTTTATAAGTTTTCTTTTAGAAGCTTTAACCTGCACAACTATGTTGCCAATAGCACCAGCGTTCAAGCTCTGTGAAGAGCTTTCTACATTTTCTTTAGGAGGTATGGGCGAAGCAGGAGCCTGTTTGCGACCGATTGTGATTTTTTTTTCTCTGTTTGCCATGACATTGGAACAGGGTTTTTTTGTTTCTGTAATATTGAAAAATATGTAGTTTAACGATTCATTAGCCGATTAGATAAAATAATATAAAATATAAACGAAATACCTACNAATCGCTATGGTTCTGTAACTTATATCGATTTGATTTTTTCAGCAATAATTTTGAAGCCAGTAAAAAATTATCTACTTATACATCGTACTGATGTATAAATGTCTTTTCAAACGAAGACATGTTCATTATTATTAAATAAAGGAATATAGTTACATTTTTTTATTATATTCTACTAAATACTAAGTGTTACACAAAATGTAACTAACATAGAAGCTATAATAGACACTTTACATTGCAATACACTATTTACAGAATAATACATCGTTAAAAAATGAATAGACCTTAGCATTGCATCGGGTTTAATAAAACTTTTTAGAAAATCCATTAAGGCAGAAGCAATGCATAAAAATGAGTTCTTTTGAGAGTATTTATATTACATTGCAATGTTTCTACCTTAACGTTTTGATAATAATAAATAATATTGCACATAACGTAAATTTTACAGTGACATTCTACAGGACGGTTGCTTCTTCCTTACAACATTATACTTATTTCTTTTTTATAAAACCGAAACCACAACAGTTTGATCATGTAGCTTACTAAAATACTGAAAATAAAATACGCGAAAAGTATAAAAAAGAACTTTGTTCGAAGATACAGTATTACGAAATCAGCAAAGAAATGAAAAAAAAAAATACTTGTTCAAAGGATGAGCTTTTTGTCATTAAAATAAATTTGTCATGACATGAACATTTTTGTTACTTGTTGGTAATTATAATATCTTATATTTATTTAATATTTTGCGTCTTATCGGGCCGCTTGGGGTAGTTTAACATCCTTTTTTTATAATTTCCATAGTAACATTTCGATAATACGCACGGTATTATTTTCACCCAAAACAACACCGGATCAACAAATTACTTTTACACATTTTCTACAACAAACCACCAAGTGGCTAAGAATAATTTTCCTTTTTTTAACGGTCTATCTACGTATACGAGGGACGAGGAGGCACTTCAAGGGCGTTCTGTTCAGAGCGATCATGAGGATGTCCTTGACGGAACATTTTTGTTTTTTTGTGTTACCTGTGTTATTGGGCTCGAAGACTTACGGGACACCGTTTGTGGTATAACTGTCAGCGATTTCGGAATTTTTGGAAGGACCATCGCCGATTTCGGTTCTGACAGTTTCGATTCCAATTTTTCCACAGTTTCATCAAGCTTCTTCAAGCTGTTCTCAACTTCGTGACCATCAGGGGGTAGAGGTTCATTTTTGGATGATTTGGAGATGGACGCGGTTTTTCGGATTGTAGTGTAAACCTGTTTCAGAACCGAGTTTCCACCTTGATTACCTACTTTCGCGGCTTCTTGGAGTCTCTTCTGTTTTAAATCACAACTCCGCTTAATAGCACATATTCTGTGGTAGTCTTCAAGGGTGATATGGTAAGGCTTGCCACCCGATATGACCTTTACATACTCTATTTTTTTATCTTTCTCTGGCTTTTTATTTGGATCAATGGGAATAAGATTAGGTCGCCAATTTTTGGTGAGCGGAATCTTGATTTTCTGAGTCTGAGGCACTTTAACAAGAGGTGCTACTGGTTTGGTTGTTCCCGGATNAGAAAAATATACCACTGATTTAAAATTTACGGTAGTGCTAAATGAAATGTAAAATAAATAACACGATTACTTTATTGAAAATAAAATCACGGATAACGTTTTAGCAAACAGGATATGGCTCCTCTCTTTCAAGTCCGGAGGCCAAGTCTACTGATTCCGGCGTAACTATGTAAGTATGGTTAGACAAAAATATACCCCAATATAATGATTACAAAAGCGCAATAGTGACAGATCACGGGAAAACGTTCGCATTTTCGAGGTTATCGTCTTCTACCCGTAAATAATGTAGCCTGCTGATTTTATACCGGCCTTACAAGCACCACCGTATCACTACATACTTGTCCGATGACGTACGCGAGAAACCAAAGCGTAAGTTTCAGTGAAAAACTAGTTATATAAACAAAGCAAATGACCTGTTAGTCCATTTCCTTGCTTGCCTACTTTCAAATCGCAATTTTCTATCAGTTCGGATCCTTTTG